ACAGGGGTTCCTCCTGGCTCATACACTCAGGAATTACTCCTGGCAGTGCTTGGGGAACCGTGTGGGATGCTGGGAATCAAACCCCAGTGGGCCGCACGTGCAAGGCAAACGCCCTACCCGCTGTGCTATCGCTCCAGGCCCTATACTCTCTCTTTAACCTCTGAATTAAATGTTTTTTTTTTTAAAGAAGGAAGTGCTGGATGCCCATTTTTCCGCTCTGTATTCCTCATTCCCTCTCATCACAGGAGGCCGCCCTGGTCTCTGGAGCCTGTAGCACAGAGCTCACTGTGGAGCTGAAGAAGGAAATCAGAATTGGTCCACACTGGAGACACCCCCTCTCCTCTCTGCTCTCCCTCCCCTCTTCTCCTCCCTCCCTTCTGCTCCCCTCCTTTCTGCTCCCCTTCCCCTCTGCTTCCCTCCCCTCTGCACCCCCCTGCACTCACATCCCTTCTCCTGCATCACCCTCCTAGCTGTCTCTACTCTCTGAGCCTCCTAGCATCTGGCTCAGAGCTGGGCACCCTTAAAGACTCCATCTGCATCCGGGCCACACATCTTAGCACCTGGGTTTACCTCACCTTCCAGAGCAGTGGGAAGAGGGGTGGAATTAGCCTTGAGGCCCGATTCTAAGAGATCCTGGGAGGATCAAAGGAGACCTCAGCGAGAGGCTGTCTGAAATGTTAACAGCTGCCGTGTGCCAGGAGCCCTGGGTCGGGGACTGGGGCTCCCTCCCTCCCTCCTTCTCTTCCCTCCACCAGGTTAGGGAGGGGTTTGGCACCAAATGCAAGGAGCCCTTTTTTCTTCACTTCCCTTTTCCTTCTGTCTTTTCTTTTCTTTTTTCTCCTCCTCCCCCACCTCGCGCCTTTTGGTTTTGGGGTCATACCCAGCTGTACTCAGAGTTTACTCCTGTTCTGTGCTCAGGGATCACTCCCAGTGGGGCCCAGAGGACCACATTAGGTGCTGTGCTTCAAACTTGGGTTGGCTGTGTGCAAGGCAAGCACGTTCCCCACTGTATTTCCTCCAGCCCCTCAAGGAGCCCTATCCTACTCCTCCCTGAACCGGATCAAAGGGTAGATTGACTCTGAACGAGAATTCCTATGAGAATCTGCTGTGAGCAGGGTCCCTTCTCATCCCTCCCCAAGTGCACGTGCATTCAAAGTTCAGCAGAACATTTCTGGAGGTGCTGGCTGGCTCCAGGGCACGTATTCCTTTTATCTATTGGGGGTTCTGTCAACTCTCTAAAGTAATTGGGGGGGTGTTTGGCACAATTAGCTTTCAATCAATTAGGACACACACACACAGACACACACAACAGTGCTAAGTCCATTTCTCTGTGACTCCACTTGTCCTGGAGTTTTCTTGTCCATGGACTAGGAATATTATTAATCTCTCAACATCTTAACTTCACTGCACTGCTCCACCCTCCACTACAATTCTGGCCTTTCCAATTGGCTTGAGAACTGAGGAGAGCCACAGCGGATCTTTCCTTGGGCTCTGTGATTTACTGCCTGCTGCTCCCTATAAAACCAGGGAAGCTCAGCCACACCTTGGCCTGGCAGCCTGCTCTGGCTCTGGGGGAGGAGGGCCCATGGGGACATAGTAGTTGGAGCCTTTGAGAGGCCGGCAGTTCTCCACAGAGAGGGGAGATTGGGCCGTGTTAGGTGGGTGTGAGGGCAGCATGGGGGTGACCCTGGGCTTTCCAGAAGGTAAAGCTGGGAGGCTGGTTACTCCTGGTTCTTCTTGGGAGCTGGCAACTTCCTGCCATCAGGCGAATGGACTTTGGGCCCTATTGACAGAGGCTGTTAGGAAGTCAGTTTCCAGAGCTGCCCAAAGCGTCAGCAAGGAGATGGAGCTGAACTGAACAACGGTGAAGCCAGGGGCAGGAGTACAAGCTAGCCCTCGGTAGGCTAATCCTCCCTGGATGTTCAGAAGCAAGTGTGTCTTGTAGACTGGGGCCAGGGTTGGGGTGAGGGAGGTAGGGGAGAGAGGGGGCCGTAATAGAAGATGCTGGGTCAAGGGTGGTCCAGATTGGGGGATGGAGGAGACAATGTCGGGGAGTTAAGAGTTAAAAGCAGTGAAGGGACCATGACTTGAACCTCCAGGTCTCCACTCCTTCCTCCTCCTCCTCTCTCAAATCAGAGATCCAGTCTGTGGATTGACACTTGGGATTCTAGTTATTGGGTGCTTTGGCTAAGGAGTGTTTTTTCCTTCAGCTTTTGAGCCATAACCGGTGGCAGTCAGTGAAAAGGAAAGCTTTCTTATTTTCTTTGACTTTCGGCCCATACCTCGTGGTAGGGTTTACTCCTGGCTCTGTGCTCAGGGATCACTCCTAGAGGAGCTTAGGGGACCCTATGGGATAATGGGAATTGAACCCAGTTTGGCCACATATAAGGCAAACACTCTACCTGTCTACCTGTTGTTCTATCGCTCCAGCCCCACCAAGGGCGGGGGGGGGGGGGGCGGGCATACCCTGAGCTGTTTAGAGCATACTCCTGGCTCTGTGCTCAAGAGTACCTTCAGGGGTTCCTATGTGGTGCTGGAGATTCAAACTGGGGTCAGACACATGCAGCAAGCACCTTACCTCCTGTTCTATCTCTCCCTCCCCTTGGCTGAGGGCTTCTATGAGCCACTGGCATGGCCCACCAACCTCATGACCCTGTGCTCACAGGGGCATGCTTGATTGAATATTTTTGCCCTCTTGGCTTTCCATCACGCCCTCACAATCACACCTGCCTCCCCGCCCCCCAAACTGCTGGGGATCAAACTCCAGGCATTACTCAAGCAAGGCAGGTGCACTATGGCTGAGTCACATCTATGAACCTCTTGATAATTTTTGTTTGTTTTTGCAGTACCAGGGATTAACTTTTTTGTTGTTTTTAGGCCACATCCAGTGGTGCTCAGGGCCTATTCCTGGTTCTGTGCTCAGGGATTACTTCTAGTGGTGCTTGCGGGGAGTCAATATGATGGGGATTGAACCTAGGTCTAATGTAGGTAATGCAAGCACGTGCTATACTACCTCTCTGGCTCTGAACACTCTTTTGTTTTTGTTTTGGAGCTAGACCTGGTGATGCTCAGGGGTTACTCCTGGCTATGCACTCAGGAATTATTCCTGGCAGTGCTCAGGGGACCATATAGAATGCTGAGGATTGAACCTGGGTTGGGTGCAAGACAAACCATGTGCAAGACAAACGCCTGACACACTGTACTTTGCTCTGCTCCTCTAGGCCTGAACACTCTTAGTTTTTAAACAAAAGGCCTTGCGTTTCGATTTTGTCTTAGGCCTTACAAATAAAGTAGACAGTTTTGTCCAAGGAAGAAGGCGCTCTGAAAGGGTTGGTGGGGGCTAAAGCCGACAAATATTCCTTTTCTGATCTCCCCTTCCAAAAACTAGAGTATGTTCGCCTTCTTCCCTCCTCTCTACCCAAGTGCATCCAGCCGATCCCACAAGCCCATAGTTTCCTTGCCAAGTCTCAGCCTTGCCTAGAACATGTTTCCTTGGATACTTACCAACTCAGGGAGTGGCAGTTTCCTTGGGGTAGTAATGGGCAGGGCAGAGCGCCATGAGGGCCCTACACAATCTGTGAGCCAGACCCAGTGCCTGCGCCAGAAGAGGCTCTCTGAGACTGTGGTGGAACTGAATGAATGGACCACCGGGTGGGAAACTGAGGCCCAGCAAGGACAGAGGCGTGCTGTCTAGGTGGAGAAGAGTGTCAGAAATGAACCTGGCCCGCAGCTGGGGACCAGGATAATACTGATGGGCCAGGGGAAAACTGTGTGACCAGAGTCAGGTGGGGTGATCATAATGCCTCTCTAGGGGCTGAACTAGGGGTTCTGGAGTGCTGACCCCACAGGAGTTTGGTGGTGGTGGTTGTGGTGGTGGGTGGGCTCAGGGCCATTTCTAGTCTCAGGGGAACAGGCTGGGACCAGACCTAGATGTCTGGCCGTGACTGCTGTGGTTGACCATCTCTGTGTTCTGGGGTAATCACAGTCCCCACTGAGTCCCCCTCCTTTCTGTGTACTGTGTGGGTATTGTGCAGGCCCTGCCTCATTCCAAGCTGCTGTGGAATAATCAGGTGATAAAAAAAGTGCATGCTCAGCACCAAGCAGAGCCCGAGGCCTGGAGGAAGTGAGCACAGCACTTTCTGGATTCTTCCATGCTTTCTTCTCTCCCAGTTTCCTCACTCCCTCCACTCACCTGTAGACCGTTACAGGGTTACAGGCCAGGAGTTTCTGCAAGAACAGCCCCGGGGGTCTTTGTGTGCTTCAGCTCTCACCTCTAGGTAGGGAACGCCGGACCTGGGGGTGACCACGGGCCTCAGAGGCAATTCCAGGGTTGAGGGGCTACAAAGACGCCCCCAGCGCAGTCACCAAAGGGCCAGGCAGGAGCCCAGGACGCCTGAGTCACCTTCCACTTAGAGGACTGGGAAGGTTGGGAGCTGGAGATCAGGAAGGTGTGGTGCGGAGCGGACAGGAGCCGCGGGGTGCCTGCAACCTGCGGGGTGGGGTGTAGGGGGTGGGGAGGGGACAGGGCTGTCCCCTGCGGGTCACAGGTCTCAGCGGGCCCGAAGCCCGGCTCCTGGGCAAAGCCTCCAAGGACTCGGAAAGAATTCTCTCTCCTTCCAGGAAAGAATCCCAGACAGCAACCGCCCCCCCCCCGCGCCCCCCCCCCCCCCCCGCCTTCCGACGCCGCCGTCTCTCCCCAGACCAAACTCCGTCTAGAAGCTCTCGGGGATCGAGGCCAGCGCGCCCCCCGGCGCCCCGCCCCGAAGCCCCACCCACGGCCCCGCCCCGCCACCCCGAAGCCCCGCCCACGAACCCCGCCACACCGAGGCCCCGCCCACCGGCCCCGCCCCTCCCGAGGCCCCGCCCCCGCCCGACGCCGGGCACCGCCACTTTCTCCCGGGACGGCACCTCGCCCTCCCCCTTCCCGGGGTTCGGGGCCCGGCCCAGGCGGGGAGGGGCCGCCGGCAGCGCAGCAGCTCCCGCCCCCGGCCGCTCCCTCCCGGCCGGCCCCCGCGCCCCTCCCGGCTGCTCCCGCCGCGCGCTCCCGCAGCCTCCGCCGCCCCAAACTTTTCTCCGGGCGCCCGTCCCCCCGGCGGCCGCCCGCTCCCAGCGCATGGGCGCCCGGCCGCCGGGGCCCGACCCCCGCCATGGCGGCCCGCGCGCCCCCCGCCGCACCTGCGGCCGACGAGCCGGGGGGTCCGGGAGGCCCCCCGCGCAGGAAGAAGTCGCGCTCGGGCGCGTCCGGCCTCCGCCGCGCCTTCAGCTGGCTGCGGGGCAAGCGGCGTAAGAAGAAGGCGGCGGCGGGGGCCGAGGGCAGCGAGCCCGCCGCCCCCCGGGCCAAGAAGGCGGAGGACAAGGCCAGGAAGGCCAAGGGTAAAGGCCGAGGTAAGGCGGCCGGCACCTGGGCCGCGCGCCGGGCGGCGCCGAGGGGGCGGCCGGGGGGAGGCGACCCCCACCGGGCACTGGGGCCGGGGGCGCGGAGAGCCCGGGGCGCAGCCCCAGCACCCCGTTGCGCGGCGACCCCAGCGCTGATCTGCCGGGTCCGGCCTGGCCCCTCCTTCTAGGGACCTCCAGGGAACCCCACCCCACCCACCCCGGCCCACCCCGCCCCGAGGGAGCAGGGACCCCTCGGTTGAGGCAGGACGTGCTGGCAGTCTGGCTCGCAGGACGGCGAGGCACCACCCTTCCCCCTCACCCCCACCTTCCAGACTCACCCAGGTTCTGCCCTCTGCTGAGTCAGGGGCTCAGAAACTTGCCTCCTGGCCTGGAGCCAATGGAAAGGCGAGTGGCCTTTCGCCTCTCTGGGGGTCGCTCTCGGGATGTGGAGGGTCAACCGCACCTGAAAGGTGTTTCAGCCAAATCGGTGGGGCTGGGTTTACAGCCCCACAAAGGGCCCCGTGGCGAACGCAGCCGACTTGAGGTTCTTAGCACCGCTTCTTTTAGCAAAGCGCCCACCTGCAACCCCCACCTGGGCGAAACCGCAGACATCCACCTCGGGGTGGTGAGCTCACCCAGGCGAGCTAATGCCGCTCCCCAACCACTTCTTCCTCTACCACAGGTAGAGTCCTTCTCTCATTCCCCCAGTGTTGGAACCGTGCTTGAGCTGGGGGAAACTGAGGCCCAAGGCGATTGTGCGGGGTGGGGGCGTGTGCTGTACTAACTACAGGTTAATTCGCTGCCTCTGATCTTTGGTCCTGAGGGTGCAGAAAAGCAGCCCAAGGTGAGCGGAGGCTGAACCACCCCTGCCAGCTGTGACGACTTGGGGGGGGGGGGGGCACTTGCTTGCTTGCTTGCTCTTGCCTCCTTGGCCCTTCGTCCCCATTCCCATCTCCCTTTTGGGTGGGAGGGCATGAGCCCCTGCAAAGGCTGGAGCTCCCTGAGGGTGGGAGTCTGCTTTCCTCTGCTCCTGCCATGAGGGAGGACATGGCGGGATCCTGGTGCCCGGCTCGTTCTGCCCTGCCTGTTTTTGCCCTCCTGGTATCCTTTCACTGAGGAGAATTAGAAGGAGCTCTTCACGGGGGCAGGAAGAGGGTGACAAGCCTCTTGTGTGATTGCATCCGGCCTGATCTTCCTTTTGGACAGGGGCCCTCCTTCCCTGGGCCCAGCCACAAATCGACACCAGGGTGCGGGCATGGCGGCCCGGAGGAAGGGTGAGGGTATTTCCAAGGGCCCTGCAGGAGGTGTTGCTGCCGCCCCGTGGGGACTCAGCCCAAAGTCATCCCCATCACTCGCATGAGGGCATGGATCAGAGGTGCGGCAGGATGGATGGCATGGCCAGACTGTCAGGGGGTCCCTGTGCTCTGGCCTGTGTCCCTGGAGACCAGCCTAAGTCGGGGCTGAAAGGTCCCAGCTCGGACACTGGCTGTGGAGTCCTCAGGTCACTGGCCAGGCCTCCCCGTGCTATGTGTTTGGAATCGGATAGCTCTGTGCTTTCCCGGCAGCAGGTCGGAGTGATTTGCACCCTTGTGTGCGGGCAACACCTCCTTGCCCCTGGCTGTTGTTTCCTTTGGTCGGGAGGTGGCCCTAGGTATGACTGGAGGAAGTCCTGCTTCCTTTTGCTCCAACCTCCTATTATTCCAATTGTTTCCTTGTCACCTGCCTGGCCCAACTTCTTTTCTGTTTATTAAGAGAAATAAATCTGATCTCTTTAATCTCCCCTAGTACCTCTGGCCAGGAAGGGGAAGGCCAAAGAAGGCTTAACTCTTTCTGGGAAAATGTTCCATGTGGAGATTGGGAAATGTGGGGACATTCCTGTGAGGTCAGGGGCCTTGGCTGGGAAGGTCATTATCTCTCCTGTACCACTCTCTGAAACGGACACCCAGAGGTGCGGGCTGGTCCTGGATCCCCTCCTCTGACTTCCCTCTGGTCCGGTGGGAAACTGAGTTGGGATTAGAATTCAGAGCAGAATTCAGAGCACCTGTCTTCCAGGACTTCTATGCCTCACAGACGCAGAAATGGAAGGAATATAACGTTGATGGATTATTTTTCTTTTGGTTTTGTTTGGGGGCCACACCCAGTGGTGCTCTGGGCTTACTCCTGACTCTGCACTCAGAGATTACTCCTGGTGGTGCTCAGGGGACCATATGTGGTGTTGGGGATGAACTGCATCCCTGGGTCAGCTGCATGCAAGGCTGGCCTATATTGCTTTGGTCTTATGGATTGTTCTCGAATGTGCCAGGAGCAGCTCTATATTATGATCTCATCTGAGCCCATTTGCACATAAAAAATTAAGACCCAGGGACAGTAAGGGATTGATTTCCTGAAATTTAGTAGTTGAACTCAGATCATCTGCCTCCAAAATTGGCGCTGTTCTTGGGATTCTCTCAGGGACACAGAGCTTCTCCAACCCATTCTTACAGATGGACAGAGAACCCTACAGCAGGAAGGGAACCCTAGTCAGCTCGAGAGGAGAAGGGGCCTTCTCAGAGGTGCCCCTACGGCGAGACATTGCCTTAGGCGGGTCTGCGACTTTTCTATGTCTCCAAGATATGTGGTAGAACTGAGGTGCTCTCATGGTGTTTGTCAGTGCAATCCCCTGAGCCCTCGGGACTGGTGAAAGGAATTGAGTTCGCAGGCTGCAGGACAACATGGCCCTTCTCTCAGGCCATGTGACCCCGCAGGTTGGTAACTCCTTATCTCTGCCACAGGGATAATAAATCCTGGCTTTACAGAGCTGTTTCAAAGATCAAGTCAGATAACAGACCTGCCAGGGCTTTGTGAACTGCAGAGCATGGTCCAGCCGGTGGCTGTTTCTGCTATCCTGACCTTAGGCTGCTCTGGGAAGTCTCTAAGTTTGTCGTAATCCAGGTCTGAAAAACAACTCACCTCAGAAACCCCAGCCCCCATGTGGATTATTATGATTGCCGAGGAATCCACAGAAGTTGGTCAGTTTTGACTGTGTCCAGTATGAGGGAAAAGTGAAAAAACAAACAGGGATCCATATTTTCCAGAAAGATCACCTGGACTGTAGACAAGTGAGTGGGGAGGAAGTGCTTCTGGGACAGATGCCAGAACTCAAGCTCACCTGGGAGAAAACCGGGGTTTGGGGGTTGGGGTGTGTTTCTGGATGAGGCGAGCTGAGAGTGGGGAGCAGAGTGCTGGTTAATTGAAGGGCGAGCATGAAGTTACTGTATGCCAGTCCCTGGGGAGGCGTTTTTATGTTTTCTCATACTGTCCTCACAGCAGCTGGGGAGGTGGACAGTGTTGGCATTTATAGGTAAGAAACTAGGCCTAGATCAATTTAAAGGAAATTGGTCAAGGTCAGTCAACTTTATCCATGTGAAAAAGGCATTTGTATTTATTTTTGGACCATAGCTAGAAGGTGCTTGAGGGTCACTTCTTGTGGTACTTGGGGGGACCGTGCAAGTGCCAGGGATTGAACCTGGGCATCCTCCTATATATAGTATATGTTCCAGTCCGCTCTGCACTCAGGAATAATCTTGGTGGTGCTCAGGGATTGAGCCCAGGTCGGCGACGTGCCAGGCAAACACCCTACCCGCTGTATTATCACTCCCACCCTCTTGGGGGCCACTCGGCTGTGCTTGGGGAACTGTGAGGTGCTGGGGATCCAGCTGGGCCACCTGCATGCAAGGCATGTTGAATTGTCTCTCTGGCCTCAAAGACATTATTTCTTATAGTGTCGAGCACTGGTCAGGGCAATGGGAGCATCTGGGCTAAGAGAGGCAAGTGATGGCCATTGGGCGGCAGTGAGTGAGCCAGTCAGAATTTGTCCCCAAAAAAGAAGAATGTGAGGGTCTATGTGTTTCTGATGCCGGAGAATCTGAGGGCCAACTCTGGGGAAAGGAGTGTGTGGTCCTCCGGGTAGTTTCACAAATAGGATGGGGAAACGCTCCTAAACATGGACACTGACGATTGAGGAGTGGCTCTGCCAAGCTGCCCACCTCAGGGAGAACACTCCGTGGTCGAGATCGGCTCTGTTGCATGTCCTCGGGCAGGCCTTGCCTCACAGTGTGGGCTTTAGTGGTCTCTGAGGCCGCATCTGGGTCTAGAGTCCTAGGGTTCGAGGGAGAGCCAGAGGTACCAGTTGTGAAGGGCTTGGGCATGGGGTGGGAAGAGAACGCCTACCATTGGCCAACGAGGGGGGCAGGATGGGGCCAGAGGACTGGAGGTCTTGGGAAAGGGGATGCGCAGTGGGCACTGTGCCTGATGCCGCCTGTCTGGGGGAAGGGGCTTGTGCAACTCCACAGCAAGGTGAGGACCCCAAGGCGCTTAGCCTCTCTGCGGTCAGGGTGGCCGTGGCCCTCTCCATGCCCAGGACTGCTGCATGTCCCCTCTTTGAGCTGCACCTCCCTTCCCTTTCCTACCTGGTGAGCCTCACCCCTCTAGGCCTGGCTCCTGTGGCACACCCCCTGGGGAGCAGTGCCCCTGGACTCGAGAGTGGGGTGCTGAGATCCGGAGTTGGCAGTGCGTGCTCTCTGGGCACCTGCTTCTATGTGGGTGTTGGCTCCTAAGAGGCCTTAGTCCTGGGACCATTGTCATGGGGGCTGGATTCTCTGGGCTACAGAAGCCAAGTAAATCCTTGGGGGAAGAGTGCGGGTCGCCCTCCACATGCTATGAGAAATAGGCTTTGTCTCCCAGGTCCAGAGGGGAGAGGGCGCTTCCTCATTGATTTCCCAAGTGCTTAGTCAGTATGTGACATTAGGTCATAAATAACTCCTACCACCAGGTACTGTCCTGGGGTTGAAGGAGAAATAAGGCCCCCATCCTCACAAATCTCACAGTTTAACCTGGGAAGAGTAGACACCGAACAAATAATTAAGGGTCAGGAAGTATCAAGGGGGCCTGAGAGATAGTACAACGGGTAGGGCACTTGCCTTGACCCGGGTTTGATCCCCAGCATCCCTTATTGATCCCCAAGCACTGCC